GGGGGGGGGGGATTAAAAAGTTTACATGTAAACACCGTCACCAGAAAGCTTAGAAAAATTCTTGTTATCTTACCACCGCAACAGAAACATGGTTACTTTTTTCTTCATGGTATTACACATATGTCATATATGTAAACTGTAGTTTTATATGTGCCGTCTTAATATCATTGTAATTAGAGTGTACACAAAATTTTACATCCTTTCCCCATTCACCGTGTATTTCACCGTGTTAATGCATTTATTCTTTTTAGTGGCTAAGCAGTATCTCATCAAATAATGTTCCAGCAACAATATGATATACTTCTTATTACTGGGTATTTAGCCTCCTCTTGATTTTTTGTTATGCTTTCCAGGATATTTTCATGTGTGGCTTTTCCCATGGTTTATATTATTATTATTTATTTTTTAAAATTTCACCTGAGGATGTGTTTTTATTGATTTGGAGAGAGAGAGAGAGAGAAAAACTTCAATGTGAGAGAGAAACATCGATCAGTTGCCTTCCATACGCACCCCGACTGGGGCTCGAGCCCGCAGCCTTTCAGTGCACGGGACAATGCCCAGCCAGCGGAGCCCCCCCGGCCAGGGCTATATATTTCTTTTGGATACATTCCTAGACGTGGGATAGCAGTGCTCATATGTTAAGAACACTGTATTTGCTTCTGATTTATAATTTTTTATTTGTATATTAGAAAATGTTATGATTATTTTATTAATCTTTTAACATTTCATATAAAATATTTCTCATGTCCTTCATCCTGAAATAACAAAATAGTTTTATAGTATAGTCATCTTTTTAAATTAGTACTAAGAACTCTTACTTTATTACTCATTATAAGATGCAATCTCTGAGATGATAATTACTTAGGAAATTATTTTGCTTTTACCATTATTCGTGAGATAAGTACTTTAAGTACCTTTACAATACAGAAATAAATTGAGAGGATTCATACAGGGATCTAGAGCTGTTCCCCACCACCAGAAACTCCTTTCTGCACTAAGCTATGGAATGATCTGTGTTGGGATAAGCAGCTGTGGCACACTCGATAATCTAGAAGCTATTCTGTCTGGCTACCGCCCACCACACATACCTGTCAGAGCTTGTCCAGCGCCTTCCTCTGCTGTGCTCCCATCCTGCTCAGAACTGGCTGGGAGAGCGTGTACCCCGGGAACTCATGCATGCTTCCAGCGTTAGGGCCTCACATCTGAACCTGCAACTTTTCACCTGTCTTCCTGTTATGACTGCTCCTTGCCCACCCTTTCAGGTTCTGGTGCCTGAGAGAGAGCACTGGTCAGGTAGAAGGTACTGAGTTTCTTCTAACCGAATTGAACGCTCGGGTTTTAAAGAGTCCCCCTTTCCCTGCCCCGCTGTCCTCCTCTTGCCCACCCCTTTGATTTGTTAACTTCTGATTTCTTGAAGCTACTGCCTCATATGCTATGGGGTAGGAATTTGGAAGTTACAGCTCATGTGGCTATTTAGTCAGATACCATTTTATTACAAAGAGTAGGAAAAATGGGACTATACATAGAGGAGACGGGAGATCTCACCAAAGCCAAGTGCAGGAGCTGTGGTGGCCTCAGGAGTGGCCTGAACGGAATTGAGTGATGGGCAGGCTCCAGAGCCATTGTCTCTAATGACCACAGTCATTCCTTTGCTTCTCTCTCTGCTTCTGGGTCCTTCCCTCTCTACCTGAAGTCTGGCTTTCTCACCTTCAGCACATACATGGTGAAAAAGGGAGTGGGCCAGCCCCATGCCAGCCTGACCACTGCAGGCTAGTGCCCATCTCCGTGCCGTTAGGAAAGCCTGCCTGGCTGGGCTTGGATAGGGCCCACTGCTTGTTTGAGAAGCTGTGGGGAGGGGATGGAGTGGGGATGGAGTCCTGTGGCGGGGCCTGAGTGATGAGCAGCTCTCAGAGAAGGGGGCGGGTGGACAGTCCCCAAAGGTGGTTACTACATGGCACGAAGGGAGAAGATTGGTAATTTGGAGCTTTTAAAGGAATTCAGAGTGCAGGCTGTTTTTAGAAGTGAGAGGTTAGTGCAGGTAAGTTCTTTGAACAAATCCAAAGAAGCTGCTGAGTCATGGTTGGGAGGAAAGCATGAGCAGGGAGTTTGAATCTGGGAAAGGATCTTATTTCTGGTTTGGACCCGAGTTACTGAGAAATGACTCCAGCCTTCGACTCACAGGGAAGCTGAGTGAAAACAAGGGCCGCTGCAGCTGACCGTGAGAGAATGTGGAGTGGTGCCAGGCCCAGCTCCTGCGTGGAGTCGGTGGAGGCCCCGCGGCGTGCTGAGAGTCGGGTGGAGGTGGAAACAGTGCCGGCCGGGATGGTGGCCGGTGCAGATCTGTGGTTCCTTACGTTGGTCTTTGGGAAAAAGCTTCCCTTTGCCTGGCTGTCCAGGTGGGATTTTTGTTTTCAAGCCCAGTGAAGCACTTTTGTCCTGTCTTATTTTTCTCGTCTTATAAAATAATGTCGCATTGTTTTTCCTAATCATGACTGTTTTTTAAACCTCATTAAAAACAGCTGAGGAAGTGAGTGTGCCAGGCATGTGCGGGAGCTTGGTGAGGTATATACCGGGAACTGCCTGGGTCTGTGGTTATGAAGAGAGCCTTAGAGCCTTGTGCCCTGGGTACAGGGGGTCTTACTGCAGTTGTTCATGTTCTTACACCAGCAAAATTCTTTTTGCCAGTAAAAGTACACACGACCTCTTAATGTTTCACACATATATTATTTGCGTGCTAGGCTGGGTTGTCTCTACAAAAGCCATGTAAAGGATTTCATGGCAGTGCACTTCCAAGGCTAATTTTGACCACATATATTAATTGTTTCTTTGCATACAGATGTTTGCATTTAATGCACTCTGGGTAATAATAAGAGCATCAAAACAATAATCATTGTCACTCAGTGAGCACTTAAACTGACGTGGCCCCTGCCTGGCGCTCTGTGTGCGCTGTGCTCCCCCTACAGGCCAGCCCCTGAGAAGCCAGCGGAGACTAAGGCTGAGGAGCTCAGCCCTGCTGTGGTCACAGCCATCCTGCAGAAGCAGCCTAGGCCTGTCTCCTAGGGTGTAGGAGCAGCTGGGCCACTCAGGGGAACCTGTAGGCCATTATGAGAACTTTGCTTTTCCTCTGAGAAGCTGTGGAGTTTAGAGGTTGGAGCAGAGAGGGGTAACAGTGAGGACCAGTGGGATTCTACACGTATTTCCAGGGTAGAGCTGACAGGATCGGATGTGGGTGGAAGAAAAGGTAGAGGCCGAGGAAGACAGCCGAAGTTTCTGGTCTGAGCAACTGCAAGAATGGAATTTTCATTTACCGAGGAAATGAGGAAAGGAGCACTGTCTTGTGGGTGGGTATGAATGGAGAGTTGAATGTGAGAGGAGCGAAGCAGAGATTTTGAAAAGGCAATTAGGTATGCATGTTGGGGTTGATGGGCTGGGTTGTTGGGAAGCAGGTTAAATGATAGGCTGTTTGCTTGTTGATCTTACCCAGAACTTGTACTCTCACGGGTCTCTGTGGGGCCAAGGAGGAAGCTAAATGAGTAAGATGATAGGGAGAGGTGAGGCCTGTGGTTAACTGCAAAGCACAGGCCCATTTCTGTTCAGAGACTACAAGCGACACTCACACCCTTGCTACCCAGCGAGTCTGTGGCAGGACAGGAATTCAGAGCCAGGCCTTGGGCCCCAGGTCCAAACACATTGCACTCGCCATTTCCTCTGAGAAGTAAGAGCTACTAGAATGTAAATGCCATGAGGGTAGGGACCTGTGTCTGTCCTGCCTGACACGCTGGGCTGCTCATGTTTGTGGACTGACTGAGTGAAGAAACCAATGATGATGCGTTTGGAAAGCCGCTTACCGAACATGTCCTGGCACTTGCCAGCGACCGCATGTGACTTGCGGTTTCCAGGTGTGAGTGCTGTAGCTGGAATCTGGGAGCGCCCTGATGTGTGCAGAGCTTCACCGCTCGCTCGATGCGGCCCAGTGGGCTTTGTCCCCTTTATCGTTAGAAAAGGCAGCTCTGGGGTTAAGTGGTAGAACGTCAGCAGTTCCCACCTACAGCATGTTGTCATTAAAATGTGGTATAATTTATTACTTAAGATATTATAGGCTCTCAGTATTCTTCAGTGCCTTATGGATATGGTATACTATTAAAACACGATTATTAAGATTATCTAGTGGTTCATATTATAGTTGGGAAAGCAAATATAATTTTTCATTAACAGCCTCAGATTAACAATTTGGAGCACCTGCCAGGGAAAGATAGGGTGCAAGGGCTGCTTCTGGTGGCCCTTTTTGCTTCTCAGTTTGCTGTTATGATAACCCAGGGGTCTAATGATTAAATATGTATACATACTCGCACGCGCACACACGTAGGGTGCTGCACGAGGCAAGGAAAGGAGACAGGAGCTTGGTGGGTAGAGCTTGCTTTTACGCACAGAGTTAAGCAGTAAGTTTATTGTTTCTTTGCCATTTATATATGAGAGCAAATATATATACTTCTACATTGTGTTACTATCCAGGGCAACTGCATTTTACAGTTGTGTGGAGGTGATTTCCAGGAAAAAGCATGAGAGAGTATCTAGTCCTAGGTTGCGTGATGGTTCTGACACACATGTGGACAGTTACATGGCCGGCGCCTTCGTTAGTGCTGGAGGAAGAGGCAGAGGCCAGCGATCCCTGGGGCTCGGAGCTCGACACTGGGACTGGCACTGGCTTCAGAAACATAGTGACATAGGCTTGTGTACAGAACAGCGTGCAGCAGCGGGCTGTCAGCTGACACTGGTGTTAGGTTCGTGGTCTGGAGGAAGTGGAATAAAGCGGCCATACTCGTCCCACCTCGGACACTATGGTAAGCAGAGCCTTTCCGATGGAATTGTGTAGTCGGAGGGAGCCTGTTTATGACTAATAGCTGCCGAGGCGTGTAAGGGGTTTTTCAGGAAAGAACAATTCTGTTTTGGCCCATTGCCCTGTCTCCCTCCGTCCTGTCTCCTAGTGGAAGCTGTGATCTGATGTGGATAGAGTGTAACTATCGTTTACAATTAACGGTTTTTGTTGTGACCTGTTTCTTGCGGCTCAGACTGCGTGAGGGCCGGGCTTCTTGCTTGGGAGATCTGTAAAACTTGTGCTGAGTCATTTTGAGCTCAGTGAGTGGGACGAAGTTCTATTTTTAGTCCCTCCAGGCCCAGGAGGGCGAAGGGCGAGCAGTCATGTGCACCTGTTCGGGCGCTGCCCACCTAGGGAGGCTCTGTTCTGTTTAAATACTTTTGGCCACTGAATAAGTACAAGATTGCTTGAAAATACATTCAGTTTTTTTTATACATTGTGAAAGATTTTTCTTTCATCTTGTGAGAATGGAAAATTTTTAAAGTTTAAAAGTTTACATGAGTAAAAGATCATTTGCTTGTGCCTGTTTCCAACATTCATTTTTCTTTAAAGGTTGGCTCTTAGTCTTACCTTCCCAGTTTCAGAGTCTGACATGCTCTTTCCTTCAGTTTTAGCCTGTTTCTGCATAGAGACCAGTACTTGTCCATGACCCATAAAGGAAAACAAAGCTGGCAGTGTCGGCCTGTTTTCTGTACTGCCCCTTGTTGCAGGCCTGAGTGCTCATCTACGAACAAAAAATCACCTCGTTTTCTTTAGACTGTGAGGTCCTCAAGGACTCAGATGAACTTTTTGCGATTTTTTTTTTTAACTGATGTGTCTTTATTTATTTATTTTATTGATTTTAGAGAGAAGAAGGGAGAGAGAAACATTGATCAGTTGCCTCCCGCACAGGCCCAACCGGGGATCAAACCCAGGGTCTGTGCTCTGACCGGAAATCGAACCCCCCTCCTTCCAGTGCATGGGGATGGTGCTCCAACCAACTGAGCCACACCAGCCAGGGCTGTGATTTTTCTTTGTATCGAGTTCGGTACAAGACCTTGTTGACATAGGTAGCAAATAGAGATGGTGACTTTTAGCCTACGATGGGCATTTAGGTCCTTAAGCTGCCCCCTCAGCAAGATGCTATACCCCTGGGAAGACAGAGTGATTTTTATCAGTAAGTACCACTGAATGTACCTAATTAGTAAAGTATGTATACTAAATTGTATCTACAAACACATAATTTTCAAACTCTTGTGTTCATTTAAATATCGATGATGTATTTCTTTTGGGACGTGGAAAATTTCTTCATAAAACCCTTATATTTAAGCAAAAGAATGCAGATACTTGCTTCTTACACACCTGGCAGTGAGCTGATGTGTCTTTGTTCTCACACAGAGTTCTGGAATTGAGACGCTGGTGGAGGAGCTCTGCTCCCGACTGAAAGACCTGCAGAGCAAGCAAGGTGGGGGCACAGCCTGCACAGGGCTGTCTGGGCACTTGGGCATGGCCACCGAGAGTGGGTGGAAGGAGATCTTAGAATTGGGCCAAACAGGAACAGCAACGCCCTCAAGTCTGTTCAGTGTGTCCTCAGCTCAGCATGGGCCAGCCCTCCGCAGCCACCTGTAGGTAGAGCCCTGCTGTCTAGAGTGCAGTGACCCACAGGTGCCCTCAGAGAGAGGAGCCGGCTCATTTTGTCTCTCTGCAAATAGAAGCTTGGAGGTCAGGAGCAATACCTCTCTTTCCCGAGCTTGTGACCCTGTTAATATCTCCGTTTGGACACCAAGGCCTTAAAGTAGGTGTCAACACTAATTATCTCAGGTTTGGAAGGAACTTCTGCTTTGACTCTCAAATTTTGGGGGTAAGGCAGGCTTGACAACCTCATTAAGTCATTTTGACTCATGAGCCCTCCAGTTCTTCCCCAACTTTTCTGTAAGCCCTCAGAGTGAGAGCTATAGGCTAAGGTTAGGATCTTTATTTTCCTTGCCCTCGGCAAGCTCATCTTGCTGCCCACCAAGCTATGAGCCTCCTGTTAAGGGTGTGGCGTGTTTGTGTTTAATCCCACCAGTGTCCTGAGCTAAGCGAAGGGTAGAGCCTTTTGATTGTTTTAGTTGAAACACAGCCCCAGTCACCTAGATGTTACGCCACAGATTGTGAACGGTGATTAAGAATTTTCTTTGCAGCTTAGCAGTAGTTAAGGTGGGTCAGTACAAAAGTCCATGAGACTTTTTGTGAGAAGGTATTTTTGGAATCTAAGCAGATGTTCCCTCCTTCTGGTATAATTAATAAGGGGATTTCAGTCTCTTGATTAAGGGACTCCAGAGCACTGGCTCCTGACGAGATGAACAGGCCTCACCTCTCAGCCCAGCGTTCCTGTGGTTCAGCCAGAGAATTCCCTCTGGCACACTGGAGAAATGGATTTTTATTAAAAAGACAAAACTACTATAGAGTTCTTCTTAAGCCACAAGAGGCTACATAATTTCTGTTAAAGTTACTTGAGAAAATTTTAAAAACATGACAAATCTTTCTAAATTTTTGTTTTGTAACAGAAGAGAAGATTCACAAAAAGTTAGAGGGGTCTCCCTCTCCAGAGGCAGAATTGTCCCCTCCTGCAAAGGATCAAGTGGAAATGTATGTAAGACCGTATGCAGTGATGAAGCCTGCGTTTGCTAAAGTCAGACCGAGAATTGCTGCATGGTTTACAGTGTCTGTCTGTCGTCTTGTATGTAGCTACGTATTTTGTAATTCAGGAAACATTTGCTTGTGTACTTGACACAGTTGAGAGGTGAGTAAGATGACTGTATCCTTCACATACGTATTAAGTCAGTGTTTGTGCAGCGAGTGAGCAAAGCCAGCAGGTGGTGGTTTACAGAACGTTCATGTCCTGTGACCATTGACATTCCCACTGTCCCGTGAGCCAGCGTTTCCCATGCAGGAAACCAGGTGCCCAACTGCTGACTCCAGAGGGGACGTGGCGGGTCATGGCCTTTTCAGACGTTTGCTAAAGATGATTTTAGTTCTCTCTTCATAAGTGGTTAATATTAAAGTCAGCTGAATCATGAGCAGACTTCTTTATTACACATTTTATTTGAATCTTTTGAACTTTTGAAACTTAAGGAAAAAGTCGCATTTGGCTGGTTTGTGTAAGCCTGCTATCCAGCGTAGTAGCCGTAAGCCATGTGCAGCTACTGAGCCCTTGAAATGCAGCCACTTCAAAATGAGATGTACTGTGAATGCAAATTCTCACCAGATTTCAGACTTATTACGAAAAACAATGTAAACTATTTTATTAATATCTTTTAATATCAATTACATGTTGAAATGATGTTATCGTGGTTACATTTGGTTAAAGTAAAATGTATTACTGAAGTTAATGTCACCTGTTTCTTCTTATGCTTTTAATGCGACATCTAGAACATTAAAAATTACATGAGGCACAGGATGTATTTCTGTTAGCTCCAGTACAGACTGAAGGGGAAAGTCAGATATAGGCCCTTTGCAGCCTGGCTTTCATCGCTCCATGGGTGACCTTGATGTCGATCCAGAGTGACAGTCTCTGGTGCTAGCCTGACTCTGGATGCTTCCACTGCAGTCTGTCCTGCTGTGAAGTCTGTCGTGGCCACCAGTTTCTCAGCAAACTGAAAACTGTGCTCCCTTGGTTTCAAGCCCTCTAAGCCAGCCTCCCTGACCTCCCACCCTGCACTCCAGGAGTGGCTGGTCTAATCAGGCTTCGGTCCTGGGGGCACGTCTTGTGTCCCACATAGTCCTGCGCCTCACAGGTGGTCCTCACTACACTGCTAGGTCTCTGGAATGCCAAGGCTCACCGTGGTCCACTTTCTCTAACTGTCCTGGCCTCGCTAGCCTTTTCTTTTCTGAACACATGCATACTGTAAGCCCCACTAATTCTGGGGGTCTACCTAACGCCTGGCATTGTGCTGGCCTTCTGAGAAGAAACAAGTCACTTAAGAAGGTGGTGTTGGGACTCATTTCACAGTTAATGCCTTACTCCTCACAGCTCTGTGGGGCAGGTACTGTTATTGCCCCCCCCCCCTTTTGTAATGGAGCCTCAGAGAGGTTAAGTAACTGCCTGAGGTCACACAGCTGGAGAGTAAGGCAGGGTTTGAATTCAGGAATTGTGATTTCAGAGTTTGTGCTCTGAACTGCTTTCTTGTACAGCATTTCAGCTGCGTGTCCCTGCAGCCCTCACCCCACAGCGGGGAGAGGGACCAGGGCACGGAGTAGAGTTCGTGTCACAGCACAGTGGTGGCTGAGCGACAGTGAGAGTCAGAGATCTCAAGGGATGACACTTTGCCACTGCATCCTGTTTCTCACTGTGGCTTTTAATTAAAACTCAGACTTTGAAGACAGAAACTATTTAGACATCTTAGTGTTCTCCTGCCGCGTACCTCGGCGCCCGGGGAGGGCGTGGCCCTGTCCCTGGTGACCGAGGGTCCCTAGTCCTGCGATGTGAGCGCGCTGACGCCCGCTGTCTTGCAGGTACTACGAGGCGTTCCCGCCGCTGTC